TTTGAAATTTTCGGATACAAAGCTTTGCAATCTGTTGGAAATGTTATTAATCCTGCTGACGCCAATAAGACTGAGTCATAGTTGCCCTTCGTGGCCATGTTTGCGTGGTACATTGTTGTTCAGTTGCGTTAGTGGAACCATAAAGGCCATTAAAAGTTGAAGTCAAAGGAAAGACTTCACCATTGATAATGTGCGAATGTTCTTTACTTTGTATAATTAAAAGCAAAGTGAAGCCAAATCACCTCGATAATAGGTAATTAACGCCTATTTGACGATATAAAAGTGTACGCAAGTTAAGTTCTCATGCAAAGGATGTTAAATTGTTTTTCAATTGAGCCGTTGTTGCAGTTCACAGCTGTTGTTGTGTCGAACATTTTTTCTTTGTGTTCGAATATAATTTCTTCATTAAAACCATCATTAAAAACATCGCAGTGGAATCAGTTGTTGTTGTGTGGGGGGCTTGAATCCTTTCCATGGGTCACATCAGAACTCAAATATACTGAAACGGCCCATCTTAGGCAAAGCAAGTTCTTGCATACTTTAAAATTGTGGCATTAGTTGGTTCCAAAAGGCTGTAAAGATTTGCGTCTAAAATTGCGTCAACTTATTCAGTGTCAAAAAATGCGTCAATCTTCAAACAACTTGGCACCCTACCAGTCCGTTTCAAAAACGGCATCAAAAGTAAACTTACTACTGGAGAGTGCGCTTTTGAAAATGAAAAAAGCGGCCAAGAAAATCGTCAAACGCATGCCAGGGCGGTACATATAAACGGTCACTATGTTTTCAGTGACGTATTGGGATTTGAGTCGCTTGTAAACAGACGGACTCTTATTCAAGTAAGTAGTGCAGGAATCCATGAGCTGCCGTCTTGCCGAGGATGCAAGCGAGCAATATATTTCCCGCTGATTGACAAAGCATATTTTAGCAAATCGCTTATGAGAAAGAAAACAAGTAGCTAACAAGAGCCTTCAGGTTGTATAAAGTCACAATCACAGGAAGTATATTTGAAGCAATAAGCAGGAACGTTATAAACAAAAAAAAAAAGACAACAGCCATAGTTAATAGAGGAGAATGGTTATGAAGTCCGGCAAACATCATAGGGGCAAACAAAGAAGCAAAGATTTAATGTATGTACATTCGGCGGAGCTGAACTGTAAGTGACAGTGACAAAGAATGTAAATATTTTTCCTGTTGGTATGAAATGCGCGTGTGCCGCTGTGCCGGGCATTAATTTAGTCTTTTTTTTTATGAGCGTATATTAGGTTTGACAGTTGCAATGTGTTCATCTCAGCTCTCGAAGTTTCAAATTTTATTGTAAAGTTTATTGGTTTTGAAGGACTTGAAAACCTGTAAGCACCTCTAGCCCGCAGAGGTTAGTGCACCGGTATTTAGTTGCGGAATACGTTCCCATTTTTCCCACTGGGTTTTTGTGTTTTCGTATCAGGCGGTTGCACATTGGTTTGTTCCTTTGTTAGAAGTAAAAAACTGTTGTGTTTTGTGCAGGGTCAAGGCATACAACAAAGGACTTTGTCAAGTTTCATATAAACCATTTCGCTCTATTAACTATGCAACAGTGAAGATTGAACAAAAAACAGAAGGGCCCCAAAGATATATGGGAAAGACCGCTGGGTGCTAATATAATTAGTGAAATTCCACAAGTCATTAGATAAAACTTATTGACCTGTCTTTAACAGCAGGATACATGTTTCGCTTTTTTCAGTTAAAAAAGTTGAATGATTGGCAGGTGCAAGATGCTGCTGTATTTTGCATTGTGTCTTCTTGCGTCTTGGAGTTGCCTACCAAGGATGGTCAGCTCCACGACTCGTGAATATTATATAGCTGCTGTGGAGAGAAATTGGAACTACGCTCCTAGCGGACAAGACAAGATGAAGGGAGTACCACTCGATCAGGACAGGTAAGGTTATGTTCCTTTAGCTTGAAAGGCGCGGGAAGTAAGATGGAACGTGTGATGTTGAAAAGGTCTTGATGCGTGTGTTTTCTCAAAAGCCAGGTTTAGGGCCAAAGCCATGTAGCGAGCATGTTGCTGTTATTGAGAAACATAAACGTTTCGTTGAAATCATATCAATTTTTTCATCGATGTTACGCGTTTAAGACCACTCTGGTACTTGCGTCATGCATCTCATCGCTGGCAAGGACCTGTCTTAAATTTAGTTTTAAGCATTGGACTAATGTATCGAAATATAACGTAAGCTGACTGATAACAGAACTAGAAAGTTTCACTCGCAGTATGGTCTACAGATACGGGAATTGATAAAATACATTTTATACGCCATTTATGTTTTATATTAATACGCCAACGAGTTTGTCACGAAAGGAATGCAAAGGATAGTGGCGGCATCTAGTCACAGTTTCATGGACACGAATGATTAGGTTGTAAAGAAACATCAAAGCTGAGAAATGTCCACTAATCGGTTGCACCGCTAACTGTGCAACGTTGTTTTTATGGTGTGAAAAATTCTAACTTCAAGATCATACATTATTTGCAAGAACGCACACCGTTTAGCTCGATTGGGCAGGTTTTGTAAAACTGACGAACTTTTGCTTTCATTATTTTGCTTTAGGTGATAACTAAATATAATTAATGATATTGGAATCATCGCTTTGTTCTGTGTTGAACTAGCCAGGACAATTTCTGCACGTTTTACCAACATTTGAATAAGTGCGTCAAACTGGTTGTCCATCACCTAGCCAGCGAGAAACATGCCAAAAAAGAGTTGCACCATCTAAGGTACCAAATGCAAGTCTCGTTTCAATGGCCAAACGATTTTGAAATGTCAAATTAACTGATCGATCATGGCTAATTTTAGCTATCAAACGGTCGCTTTTCAGAAACTCATATAGAGTCGCGTGCTCCAATTGCAACCTAGGTTTGGAATGTTCTTGCTGAAAGCTTATTAACAGATAACAAAGACATTTTCATAACTTGTAGATTGTAAGTGTTTCAGAAAACAATTAAGGAGATAATAAAGTAGACTTCAAAGGCTAAGTCTTTGTAAAAGCAAAAGGTTTTAAACTTTTTATGACGTCGCGAACATAAGCTTACGGTAGGAGTGATCTTCAGAATTAGAGTAGAGCGAATATCGACGAAAGTTTTGTTTCCGAAAGGTTAGGTAATTACACCTGGTCTACATATTACAGCGATTAATTGCAGCAGGCTTTGGAATTTTTCTAACCAGTGTCCACAGCAAGGGTGCAATCAATGATGCAAATGATGCAGTTGACTCGCGGACTACATACTCTTTCAGTTGCTGAAAAAAGGAAAAACAACAACAACAAAGCATTCCTGTCTCAGTTTGAACGCTATCCCTTCTTCCTTCTTGTGTTTAAATTAGAAAACAGAAAGCAATTTAACTATCGATGCGTCGCGTCATTGATTCAATATAAGTGCATTAAAACCAATGAGCTATGCGAATGAATTGTTCAATGTTACCCCGCTGACTTACGACCACAAAGAAAACCTCAAAGAGTCACTTTCTTAAAAGTTCCCTTTAAATGCGGCCAGCACAACGGGGTACTATTGTACTTCTAATCATTTAGCTGGAACCATTTCGCTGCAAACGAACTTCAAAGCTTACTATGTTATTCTACTGAGACGGGATTTTAGACGCTTGGTCAGTCAGTCAGCTAGCAAGTCAGTCGGTCGGTTAGTCGGTCAGTCAAATAATCAGTCAGTCAGTGAGTCAGTCAGTCAGTCAGTCATCCAGTCAAATAGTCTAACCGTCATTTAGTCACTCAGTCAGTCAGCCAGTCAAATAGTCTAACCGCCAGTCAGTCAGTCAGTCAGTCAGTCAGTCAGTCAGTCAGTCAGTCAGTCAGTCAAACAATCTAACTGTCAGTCAGTCATTCGGTCAAACACGCAAACCGTCAGTCAGGCAATCAGTCTGTCAGTCAGTCAGTCAGTCAGCCAGTCAAATAATCTTACCGTATGTTAAACAGTCAGTCAGATAGCAGGTAAGTGTGTGATTGATTGGCTGCCACGAAATTGTTCATTTCTCAGCTATGCAAGACCTTTCACCCTACGTGGTGCAACTAGAATCGCAACCGAGTACAAGAAGGTGCTCTATCGAGAATACACCGATGGGACCTTTGAACAAGAGAAACCCCATCCACTGCACCTTGGCTTTTTGGGTCCAATAATAAAAGGCGAAGTAGGGGATATAATAAAAGTCCATTTCAAGAATATGGCTCACAGGCCGTTCACTGTTCACGCCCATGGACTCTTCTACAACAAGGCCGGGGAAGGGTCCCTTTATGCCGACCACAGCAGTGACGAGCAGCAGCGAGACGACAAAGTAGAACCTAACAACGTTTATACATACAATTGGGTTGTTAACGAACAGCACGCACCCACGGAAACCGACGAGGATTGTGTCACAAGAATGTACCATTCCCACGTGATTTCTGTGAAAGACACCAACACTGGATTGATAGGTATAGAAGGAAGTCGTTTATTAAGGGCTTACCAAGGTTTCGGCAGCCTTTTTTTCTTAGGAAACATGCCAACAGTATTTGAATCCGGAACTTGTCAAAAATGTTTACGTCAGGATTCCTCGCAAGTCTCAGAGCGAATTTAAAGTTCATTCTGTTCCTTTTCTTATCCTACTGGATCTTCTTGCTTTTTTCTTCCAAAGGCGTTTCTTGATACAACTTTATGAAAGCAAATAATTGTCAAGTTTGCAACAGAGATCGTTTTTGATCTGATAGACCAAACTCCTTAAAGCATGTTCAAAGCACGCTCTTGTTTCTGATTGACGAAAGCCTACGAGGTCGCATTAATTATAAAGCTCTCGCTCTCGATTAACGAGTTGCCTAGAAAATTGCACAAGGCTAAGTGTGATAGCTAAGCGGTGTTTCGTTCCCCGCCAACGCAGTCCAACAGTTTCTCTAGCCGTGGATTAGAAATTAACACCTCTGTTTAATTCATTCTTTATTTGCACAGGTCCACTTCTGATTTGTAAGCGCGGTGTTTTGGTGGAAAACAGTGACGAAAGAAAAAGTATCGACCACGAATTTGTTATCCTTTTTACCGAGATGGACGAAAACGAGAGCTGGTTGCTAGATGAGAACATTGAAAGCTTCTCCGACGATCCAGTGGCTACCAAAGCTTTAAAATTAGACGCCGGATTTGTAGCCAGCAATAAGATGAAGTCCATTAATGGATACATATACGGCAATCTGCCGGGCCTTAGCATGTGCCAGGGAGATACGGTCAGCTGGCATATGATTGGAATGGGAACCTGGAGTGATGTGCATAACCGTAAGTGTATGCATATTGTCTTTCAATATAAAAACGTTAAGTTGATAATTTTTGCAGAAGCAAAGAAAATATTCCAACTATTGAAAACTTTAAATTGAACATTTCTCTGTTTGTTAACTTTTTACCAGTTTGGAGTTTTTCTCTTTTTTTAGACTTTCCTTTTTACAAGGTATTCCCTCATTATCTCGTCACTTCAATATTTACTCTCCATAAGCTAACGTACAGTGAATCGGCACGGAAAATTCTTTAACCTTTTCTCCTTTGAGTTAGAAGAGAGGTAGTTACTATATCATACATCTCCGGCTTTTTTTCCTTTTCTTTGTTTGAGTTTCTAGTGTAAGTAACCCGTCAGTATATAACGTTAGTAGTTGGTATATTTTTGCAACTTCTGCGAGTATTAAACCTTAAGTAGAGTAAATAGTATTGTTAGTAGCGCAAGTGACCGTGTTGAAAGTAACGTTAGCAATTATGTGTTTTTGAATTAAAAATATAATGGACAGGCCGAAGGTGAGGTTCACAAATTAAATATAAAAAAAGGTGCAAATTTTCCAATACTAACCGAACAAGGTAGTTCAGTGATTTCTTCTTATAAACTAACGCATCCACTCTCGCTGGAGTGCTCGAGATGACTGGATTTATGAAAACCGTGTCAATGCTTTGCACCAAATCAGCCATATGCACCTTGATTTTACGACTCTTAAAGGCCTTCAAATCACTCTAAGCGATGACAAAAAAGACAGAGAGAGAGAGAGAGAGAGAGAGAGAGAGAGAGAGAGAGAGAGAGCGAGAGCACGAAAAGGAAGATAAGAAGGTGGAGGAAAAAAAAGGCTGACATTCCTTTACATTTTTACATCTACTTTGGGGATGAAAGTGAAAGAAACTAAGACTATGCACCAAAATTTGAGGAAAAAGTTCACACACTTACCCCTGGAGAAGTAATTTAAAAAGCAATTCAATCTCCGTCACTAATTCGTGGGAAGAGCAGTTTGCCACATGATGAATAATAGCATTTTTGTTCAGTCTTACATTAAAGTCTAACATCAAACCTGTTTTCTTTAGCCTCGTTCCACGGCCACACGGTTAAGATCAGTTCTCACCGAAGAAACACAGCAACACTCCTTCCGTCCACTTTCATGACGGCTTACATGAAAGCGTTGAATCCGGGAACCTGGCTACTGAACTGCATGAATAGCCAGTTCTTTGACAATGGGATGTCGGCGCTTTTTAATGTCACAGACTGCGGGAAAAGTGTTGACCTGCCGTCAGTTGATGGTGGTGAAACCAGGATCTACTGCATCGCAGCTGATGAGGTGATTTGGAATTACGGACCAAGCGGTGAAAATAACATTGATGGAGCATCGCTAACCTGGCCAAAAAGGTACATAAATCATGACCTCAAAGTGTCCGCGTTTCCTCTTATCTTCTTTATTTTCGATTTTAGAGTTTTAGGTGCATTATTTCAAAGAAAAAAAGAAAAAAATATATATATATATTTTAAACCTATTGTTTTTAATTTTTTTTTTCTTACAGCCGGTGTGATGTCTTAAGATTTTTTACTGACATAACTCATGTAGATAAAGATGAAGAAAACATGCAGAAAAGTACGCGAGACAATACCGATGGGAAACGTTCCCTAAAAGCTTTTACTGGTATTACGCGTACTTTGTCATAAATCCAGACATATGTATGTCTTTAGAACTTTTTTGTTTTGTTGTCTCTGTGCCTCACAGTGAATCTGCTAAGTACTTCACCCACGCTGATAACAGAATAGGAGGAGAGTACAAGAAGGCAGTGTATGTTGAGTACACAGACGATACTTTTACTACTAAGGTGAACAGATCGTCAAGTGAAGCCCATTTGGGATTCCTAGGCCCCGTGATTCGTGCTGAAGTTGGTGACGAAATCCAAGTGCTTTTCAAAAATAAGGTAATTGAAGAATCATAAAGAACTTATAGCGTCAAAGAAACAACTAAAACAAATACTGCAAAAAGACATAATATGATTAGGTTTCTTAACCGGCTAGAGACTGACTTGTTCAGCTACACGTATTTGTTTCGAGTCTTGTTTCGTTTGTATTGAATTGCCTGTATTCTGATCTTGGTGATTGACCAGAGAGATTACAGTGGAACTCCTTTCATAGGTCAACAAGAGCCCATGAAAATTTGGTCACATTAACAGGGTAGCCGTATTAACGAGGTAGGGTCAAGCCTTTTGACTGGTCTAAATTGGAGGACGTCTCAACAGATATATCACTATTGCACTTCTAATCAATTTGAAAAAAAAAAAAATTAAATTAAAACTTCAGTCAGCATATACAATATTAACAATGGAAAGATGAACGTAACTGGTTCGAGTGGCTGTATAAATGGGTTAAAGCAATGAAGTATCGTACAAGTTGGGATTTCAGAATCTGGCCATTGGCCGTATCAACGGGTTGACCGCATTGACGGGGTTTTCTTATAAGAAAATTATGGGCGTTTTGCCGGTGGCCGTAATAACGAGGTGACCGTAAGGCGAAGTTTCACTGTACTTGGTTTTGGTTGGAACCTTGCCATTATAACCTTCGGCTTGCAAAACGATAAGACGATACATAAAACAGTGCGTGCGGAGATACAGCCCCCATCACACACCCCTCGTGCTTTAATCTTTGTTAGGCAAGGATACACACTTCCTGGGCTTACGAGACATTCCTGTTTCTTTTCACAGGCAAGTCGTAATTACAGCATACACCCTCTCGGTGTATTCTATAATAAAGCAAACGAAGGAGCCCAGTATCAAGATGGCACAACTGGGAATGACACCGCTGATAATGCAATAATGCCAAATGAGACGTACCTGTATAAATGGATCGTGCCCGACGCAGTAGCACCAACTGAGAACGATCCCTCGTGCCTGACTTGGATGTACCACTCAAACGTCGACTCCACCAAGGACACCCACAGTGGTAAAGTGACAATCCCTCTTGTGGCAATGTTGTAATGTGAACTCCTGTCATTGTTCCAATTGACCATCTCGAAAACTAAAGTTGAACCAAGTTTCAGTAGAAACACAAGGTGTTATACAGGGGCTCCTCAACGTGGCGACGTGACTATCCCTCGAACTTTCAACCACACAATGTCTCTTACATTGTCAATAAATCAGTTGCTTTTTCTTTCTTGTTTCTTTCTTTTTTCGCTTTTATTTTGTTTTCAGGAAAACTTAAAAAACTTTTTGACCTAGTATCTGAAGCAGCGTGAAAGACACACCGAAAGAAATTGCCAAATAGTGTGCTATTTTGCCGGCATACTTACATTTTTTTTCGTATTGCTCTCGTAAATTGTGTCGGGAGATTATTGTCAAAGGAAATAATTAAGTCAAAGCCAAAGTCCACACTTCTAAATTCAAATTCTATCTGGAAACAGTGGACGAAGAGTCTCTACGTGGGATGTGCCACTACAAAGTAATATTTATTTCTAGCTTCATCTATTTTATTTCTTTATTTATTTTACAGGACTTATTGGCCCTCTCCTGATTTGTAAAAAGGGAACCCTGGCTGAAAATGGTAGACAGATAAACATCGATCGTGAGTTCTTCCTCCGTTTTGCATTAACCGACGAAGGAGTTTCCTGGTACTTAAATGATAATAAGGAACTGGCTGACAATGCTTCTGCAATTGACGAAAGTAAGTATCCTTTAAAATAAGTTGCAGTAACAAATAACTCATGGTTTTGATGCTCTATGTGTGTGAAAAATCTCCCCAGCCTTTTAGACTTGTTTTATGTATTACGTTAACTGAGTAATTCTCGCGCGATCATTGATCAAGAGAATGGTGGATAAAAGTATATACCATAAAAATGACGTGGCCTGGAACGTGAGGAAGCCCAATTACCGAGACGACTTAAGAATAATGGTGAGTTTTTTTGAGGGCCTTTTCAATAAAGCAATTATTCCACTCGCGCTTGTTGGACATTATAGCCAACTTGGCGGTACGTACCTCGTAATTATATAGTAAACGGTTAAATTCAGATGTATTTGTAGGGTAGGGTGAAAAAGGTCCTGTGCTGAAACCCTTAGCGGTACTAATCGATCAATTAAAATCAAGAGGGGTAAAAGAGCATATCCTCTACATAGACGTTACTCTCAAGTTAATCCTCCTCAAGTTATTTTTATATCCTCGAATTTCGTCAAAAATACCTCGCTGCGCGTCGTGTCCCGATGAAGCTCTATCTCTCGTGTTTAATATATTAGTTCTTATTCTTGTTTTGATTATTTTTCTCTTTAATTTTCGAGATAATCCCGATTTCAAGGCGAGCAACCAGATGAGAAACATCAATGGGTACATGTACGGTAATCTGCCAGGACTGCGCGTGTGCAAAGGTGATAATGTATCGTGGCATTTTATGGGTGGCCCCTCAAGCCAAATGCACACAGTTTACTTCTACGGAAATACTTTCATTCGGAATGGAAATAACCACGACACACTTGGAATTATGGAAGGTTAGTAAGTTATCAGCAAATTCAAGGGCGAAGTCTGCACTTCGGGCAAAATTAGTCGTTCTACTAGCAGTAGTTAATATAACGCTGGTTTCTGTTACACAGCTATTGTTATTCCCCAAAATGGACTGCTAGTCCTTTGCCGGCGCGTTTATTTTGCATCATGAAAATGACCATGGATCCACTAATGATTGGGCTTCTACTGGCTCCTACTGGCTCCTACCTCTACCTGATACAATTATTATGTTATTAACTAAGAAAGTATGCCAGCATTGATTCATTAAAGAGGAAGTATTTAAAATATGCTGGGAAAAGTTTGGAGTTACCTTTGGCAGAAATTTTTACTCCTTCTGGGTAACTTTGCGGTGTAAGCGTCATTTCTCACAGCCAAAACTCAAGAGGTTCATTAACCCTCTCTATTTGTACGGAAGTGGCGATGACTTTTCGTTTTCGTTTTCGTAAGCCGATTTGCTCTGCTCAAGTTCAATGTAACATAATTTTTTGGAGACAACTAAACTAACGTTTTGTCTGATCCCAAGGATCATTAGCCAGCGCTAAGATGACCCCAGAAAACCCCGGTGTATGGAAATTGATCTGTCGGACCAACAGCAACCTCAGAGGCGGAATGATTGCTAAGTATAGCGTTTTAGAGGACTGTGGGAAGGCCTCTAGCGGGCAGCCAATGAACGGGAGAAAGAGACTTTATTACATTGCAGCAGTTGAACAAACGTGGGATTATGCACCGTCTGGGAAGGATTTAATCGACGGAGTAAATCTTGCAGACAGCGAGTGAGTCAGTAGCGTTTTAAAGTGCCATAAAGATTCCACAATTACAAGAGCCCATGACCCGGGCTTGTTTGCTTGCGTAACAACAATGAAATGTTATACTGTAATTGCGTTCTGATTGGGCGTTTCAAAAGGAGGAGCGCGAAAACTCCCGAGATGTCAAATTCTAAATATCAGAAAGAGCGGGAAAGGATTGATTCCAAGGTTTAGTATGGGAGATGCAGGTTCCGGGTGATGGGCTCCTGAAAATCACAAGTAACATTTCCACGGCAAGCAAGTTTTAACGGGCTTGCCGTGATCCAGGTGTAGAGTTGTTTTAAACGCATTTTTCAATATCAGTTTGACTGTTCTTTTCGATGGTGAATCCGAGATACATGTGGTGGATTAGGAGAATATTTTAAAGCGCAATATTCCATCATTACCACAAGTCACCATTGAATGTTTAGACCGGGAACCGCAAAAAAAAAAAAGTCTAATTAAACTAGGGTTAAACATCCATGCATAAAAGTAATATTGCATTAAAAAAGAAATTTTGGTTATTACAGTTTACTTACTTGACTGGAGATGGTATGGCTTACGGCTATGTCTGTTCTCTATGAACATTCTTTCTACAGCTTATTATTTGGCTCAATTTTCGGTAAGAAAAAAATACATACATACTATAAAAGAACTTGAATTTGTTTTTACAAAACAAACCAAACGCCCTGCGTAATAAATGTCTTAATAGAGTTGTGTTTGTTTTACGATCCCCTACAGGTTCGCTCCTCGTTACACTGTACCAGGCCCTCATTTTATCGGCCGCAAAAACAAGAAGGCTATTTACCGGGAGTTCACTAGTGCCGAATTTACCGAACAAAAACAACGAACTACGGAGGAAGAACATCTGGGAATCATGGGACCTATGATTAAGGCTGAAGTGGGAGACACGATTGAAGTAGTATTTAAGAACTTAGCGACAAGGCAGTACTCGATACACCCTCATGGAATCCTTTACAGGTATCTCATTAATCAATATCCACGTTTAAATTTGACAATTAATATTCTCGGTTTCTTATATCACTGTGATATTCCTCTGGAACAAAAGCATGGACCTCAAAACTCATTAGACAATTTTCAACGTCCAGTAAGTAACCACGACGGCGACGCCGAGGACACCTTCGATTAAAAAAAATTGTTCTTTTTACCTACGAATCTCGCGGTACTCTAAAGTCATTTACTTTGTTTATCACTGTAAAAATATCACAAAACTAAGTATGGGACATAGCGATAAATTTGAAATAGAAATTTAGAAAATTATCCGTCGTGATTCAAGTTTTCCACACTGCAGAATTTGGTCTTTTCACGTTGTTGTTTTGTAGAGGACGGCTAAGAAATGTGCACATTCATTGTTCTGCTCATTAAACCTTTTGTTTAGCGACATTCCCGTTGCCACTGCCGTCGTGGTTTTCTTAAACTTCCTAATAAATAAAAAAGCGCCCCTCTTGAAAACGCTGTTCAAAGGCAAACGGCAGTTTCCTGTTGATTTTGTTTCCTTTACCGCCAAATAAGTTCATCGGAAAAACTGCCGATAATTCACCTTGTTAGCACCAATCACAAAAGTACTCACTGTTAAGTACAAGCGGCAAAAAGCAGTCGAATAAAGGGTCGACTTTTACCATTCGCCTGAAAAACAAACGTGATATTGAATCTTACAATTAATATTTGAACGCTAGAAAAATCTTCAAACGTAATTGAATATTCTTACCTTAATTAGCTCTTAATTGATCCTTAATTATTATTGAAATTTTAAGCAAACATGACGAGGGATCTTCTTACAAGGACAATACAACGGGAACCTATGCCGCTGACGATGCAATTGCGCCTGGAAAAATTTATAATTACATGTGGGAGGTATCTGAACGAGCGGGGCCTGGCCCTAAGGATACCGCATGCGTAACGTGGGCTTACTATTCTGATGTGAACCCGGTCAAAGACACCAACACCGGATTGGTAGGACCACTGATCATTTGCAGAAAGGTGGGTATTTTGCTGCAAGGGTAAAGATAGCAGAAAAGTCACTTCTGCTTGGAAGGTGACAGCGGAGTAAATTTCGGCGGAGACTAGCGACAGCCAAAAATACGTCTGCGTTTGCAGGCTAACCGCAGGGTGACATCAACAAACTAGTGCGGTAAATAAGGATAATTTCGGTATCAATGCAAGCTAAGGTAGCTGATGTTAGATTTCATTTCGTTATTATATCAACTGGATGCTAACAATCTTGTACCGTCTTACACTTACGTTCTCTCTCCGATTGTTTCCATTGCCACAGCTAGTTGTACCTCAATAGTTTGTCGATGCTAAAATATTTAAAAATGGTAGCTTAAGGGGCCAGTTATTGTTAAACAAACTCAGCCCCCTCAGTTTGGACCCAAGACAGATATGGTAACTGATGTCAACTGGCGGAAGACGGAACAGTTAAACTTTTGGAAATCACAGTGTTTAGGCCAAGAGCTAACCGAGGGGAAATCTCGTGTCTGCATGGGAATTGATTGATCTTGACCACGGATTTCATCACCCGTCCAGAAAATCTACCGGTACTTCAACGAGGGGTGGCACCTTAGTTGTTCGTGCAATACCCGCGGGCGTGGCATGATACCCTACTTAATTTTTCAATTGAGCTGTTTCACTACTAAAGCAATCAATTTTGCATTTAATTTGTTGATAGAGTGCTTTTCACCTAAGTGGCTAAAGCTTTTGGTAATATAAACCAAAGCAAGTGCGAACGCTAACCGATTGGCTTGAAAAAAACACCCGTGCCACTCTGTCATACAATCCGGAAGTTAAATCACGTTTTCCCGCTCTTTGCGTCGGCTACATTTATTTGCTTTGCGTTTTGATTGGTTCGTCGGATTATCTGTGTCCTTTGTGCGGATTGATTAGAGTGATTTCTTTAGTCTGTGTTCCACGACACTCAAATGAAAACCGCTATTTGTTGTCGTTGTAGGGAACACTGGACGAAAAAGGCAACAGAAAAGACGCTAATAAAGAGTTTGCACTCCTGTTTGATGTGTTTGATGAGAATAGTAACTGGTACGTTGATGAAAACATTAACAAATATATTACTGGGGATCCAGGATCTCTGGACAATCTCAAAGCAACTTTTGACTTCTGGGAAAGCAACCTCAAGGCCACCATCAACGGATACGTGTATGGAAATGTTCCCGGTTTGACGATGTACAGCGGCGAGAAGGTTGTCTGGTATCTCCTTCAAGTTGGGGCTTTCACTGAAATGCATACAGTTCATTTTCATGGCCAGAGCGTTTTGTATGTAAGTAATCGCGTGTTTTATGATATTGACAATTAGATTATTACCTCGATATTTCTATAAGGTGCAGCAACTATCACTTCATAGAAATCAATAGCAAATAATTTCGTAGAATTCTAACTGAATTTCTTTCAAATAACGGTCAATGATTTATCTTCATAATACATAGATTTAGCCAACCCTAAAAGCGAATGGAATGTTGTTACTAGTGAAAATAATCCAGTATGTATGTGAGGTAAATTGCGAACAATTTCATAGTTTCAGCCCGACCTAGGATTACATCAGCAGATTGAGGTGTAAGATGGTGTGATGTAGTAAGTAATTCCAGAGATCGAAGATTACGAGGTTTTAAAGTCCCATCGCGGTCAATTTTTCTTCCTTCAGTGTGCCTGAGAATTGAATTACCCTTCAGTAATATTTCTAAATCTTCCTGAAACATAGAAACGAGAACTGAAAAGTTGCCGTTATGTGGTAGATCACCAGCCACTGCACACTAGTGACTGAAAGTACGAGATTGCGGCATTTGCATCAGTGTACTTGGACTACTAATAAAATGCTATCAGTTTCTATTAGTAGAATAGACCAATTTCGATATGTTATAATTCAGCCTAACACAATAGACCTCAGTACGAGGCTCTGGGGAATAAACCCCACTAACTCTGTAGTTATTCCCCAGAGCCTCGCATTGAGGTCTATTGTTTTAGACTGAATTTTAATATATCGAAATTCGTCTATTCTACTCGTGTTGTAACGTAAATCAGATGCTGAAATCTCATTCGCTGAGCTATCGTTCACTATCAGCGATAATTGCACGGTGACGACGTTTCCCCACTTTCCTAAGTTTCGAGGGAACATTTAGAAACAACTGGTTTGTTGACGTTAAAATCTCGAAATTGTTGAACAAAAATCTGATGCGCGCGTACACAAATTACAAATTTCAAATGATAATTCAGTCCAGGTAATTTCTTTTTATAAAGCTAGAGGTTTAATACAACGTAGAGAAATAATTGAGAATCATCATTTAAAGGAAATTTCAGTTGGAATTCTACTGGATTATTCGCACTCGATTTCTGAGGTAATAGTTGTTTCGGCCTTCGCCTTCATAAACTATCACATTCTCAAAGTCTAATAGCTGATTAATAGAATCCTGCTACAATATTCAATGCAAATTCTGCAATATGATTGGCTGAGCTATCACGCAGTATCAGCCATTGGAGTGTAGTGGCTGGAGTTTGTCTAGAAACTGATCATAAAGCTTCGGAGGACGACTTTCAAACCTTAATAGAATGCGAATTCCTATACAAAAAATGATCACAAAATTCGCGAGTGCACGACTCTACAACCACTGAATTGTTGAATGGACTGATTAGCAGGCGGCTAAAATATATTATTAACTAACAAACTAACTAACCAACCAACCAAATAATCAACCAACCAACCAACTAACCACCCCAATCTCCGAGGATTCCGTCCCAACCCCCGGTGGTAGAAAATCTAAAATATGCAATATGCTTGGTCTGAATCGGGTTAAATTGCAAGTAATCACTACAGAACTACAGCGTTACCTATTGATACAAGAAATACCATGTTCTTCCAATAAGACTCATGTTTAATTAAAATAGTCCTAGTTGCTTATTGGTATTTTCACCTTTGGATGGGTTTCATTCGTTTCATGTCAGAAATCACTGACCTACCACCGAGGAGACGTTTACGACTTGATGCCGGAATCATTCGCCACCGTTGAAATGATTCCTGACGCGGTTGGAAACTGGATGCTACACTGTCACGTGAATATTCACTCGACTGGCGGGATGAAGGCATTGTTTACAGTTTTGGCTCCGAAGAGTAAGTTGTCTCGGGTGGTAAAGTGGATTTGTTCAAATTATTACTTAGATCTTTTTTTGGGAGCTGTGCATGTCCTGGTTTGTGTGGTTAATCTTGACCGAGTTCGTGTGTCCAGACCGAATACACTTTATACACGGTTTCGTTCTTCCTTTCATCTAATAATTACAAGGGTGAACTAGGCCGAGGGAAAAAACAAACAAACAAACAAACAAAAAACAGGAAAATAGATATCAATATGCTTTTTGGTATATTCCTTGATTTATAAAACTCAATTCTAAGTTTTCGCTTATCTCAAATTGTACTAGACGTCCTACTTTGACAAAGAAACAAAGCATCGGAATTGATACACCCGACCCGCGGAAATACTTGTACTTTACTCCTTTATAGTTGACATCAGCTTAAGCATGAACACGTTTTTTTTGTTTTCAGGTGAATCAACTAAGAAACCTCCTCCATCCATTGCCGGATGTTCAAGAATCGGCTCTTATTTCGCTCTGTTTTTGACGACATTCACTCTTTACGTGGTGAAGTTTTAAGAACTTGTCTTAACCCCATCAAGGAAGGGAAGAGATGAGTTTTTGCAACTCTTCTTGTATCGATGGATCGACTGATATATCCAGCTTTATTGTATACGAAATTGTCTGTAATTTGCATGGAAGCACTTGTTGCAATCCTACACAAAATCCTTACTCCGTTAAATGGACATTTTTTAGCTTGGGCGATTTGTTTTCCATAACAGACCACGTGGATTTTCTCTAATTGTTCTTTTATCCATCTAAAAATTATTCATTCACATACACGCGACTATTTGAAAATTTGAAAGCAAGAATTCTCAAGAGTATCATCACATGGTCTGAAATGTTGCAACAAACCGCCCAAATCTAAAATATAATGGTCTATTTCGGTCAGACCGTTCTCGAATTTGTCGCTGCCGGCCTTAGCTCTTAGTTGAGCTGTATACGATGCCTGAAGTCATGACATTTAGTTTTTGTTAACCCGTGAAAAACGTACTTGGCATTGAGTTCCACGGAACAGCTTTGTCTGCAGTGACCTTGTTGCCGACGTTGCTTTCCGCTTCATAAAATCTCCTTGTTGTTTGTCTCGATTTTCGTTTGGTACGTTTCGGCCCTGTTGAACTACTAAATTACGGCCAGCTACAAAACATGTCTAACCGCTTCCTATATTAATTTCCAGCTTCACACAAAGATAGCAAAACAACCTTGTTTTATACAAATGATTTGCCACGCCTTCAAATCTGTCGAAAACGGACGATCTCGCCATTTGCGGGAAATTTCTCGCACTGGCAACAATATGACAAAAACTACATTGTTTGCCGTCGGAGCCGAAAACCATATGTTTGCATTTGTAGAATGCATAGTAATCTTGCGCGTGGGTTGGGTTCGCAGATGGGTATTGCGTGTGTGCTATGTTTATTTTGATGTTCATTGTGGTAGCCTATTGACCAATGACGTCTCATTTAAAAAAAGACGGGGACCGCTGATCAAGGGTAATGCGAGCTCTGCCACGTTACGTGCGGAAGACTTCTTGCCAAGTAATGTAAAAGTTCGTCATTTATCAATTTTTTTTTTCAATTTCAAAGCTATGATATATCTAAACCAGTTTGTCATCTCTTGACAATGCAATTATCAAGTCAGAAGGAGAGCTGATTACAATTTTATAAATACTAACGTAGCATTTACACAGTTTTTATCAACTCTTATTTTGACTTATAATGACGTTAGCTCAACGTCGAAACGCCGCCGTTTTTTAACATAATTTTCTGAATATGTTGTGAAGAAATATCTTATCTCCGTTTTCATTTAACAAATAAAGAAGCCTAAGCCGTGTATTACACTGTGATAAAACACGGCGGGCATTTGAGAAAACGATGGAAATGTAGAAAACACGAGCCGCAGTTGAGTGATTTCTACTTTTTTCGAGTGTTCTCAAATGTCCGGAGTGTTTTATCGCAGTGCAATACACGGCTTAGGCTTCTTTATTTGTTAAGACAATAAAACACGCTTTTTCTATGTTTTATACTCTGATAACACATGGGTTTTCGACCAGTCAGAGCTCGCGCAGGGTCCTTTCTATATTATAAAGTTAAATAATACTAATTTGGGAGTTTTTAGTGATAACACCTCGAGGGTAATCATTTTGCAGCAGAAGCTTTCTAAGATCCCTAAGAGCGGCTTGCAACAATAACGGCGCGGAGAAAATATTAGGAAGCAAGATAGGTGAGTGTGCGGATGAGGTGGATTTTGTACTTGCCAGCAGGTGTGAATGAATCTCATTTAGTGTAGAGGTATGTGAATGTCAGGCATTCTTGTCGTTGAAGAATTTGACAATGATGTCTAAAAATGGAATCTCTCGTCTTTTTCAAATATGATGGTACTGTGTCGACTGTCTTGACCTCAAGAGAATATGATCTTTTGGTTGACCTCTAATAATAACGATTCAAATAATGGTTAAAAAATAGATGGATTCGGCTAACGTGTTAACACCCTTGTTGTCACCTAATTTACATAGTGTGATGATCCATTTGGGAGGTTACAGTGGTTCTGTTTGTACATACCCTTATTCACTCAGTTGCGTGTAGCAAATAGGCAATTTTACAGTTGGCCGCTCAGTGGCTTGGCCTTTGAATGGCAGCGAGGTTGCAGGTGACCTTGTTTTGATTAAGACCTCACTGCTTTTCAGTGTAAATCAAGCTGTTCTTATGCTAACTAGTTGACATTGAAATGGGAAACGCAGAGAGGTCTATATCAACGCAAGGTCACGTCCAGTCTCGCGTGCAATCATAGGCCAGGTAACTAAGCACACAACTGTAAAATGGCCCCATCTGCCAAATGAATCATCACGTGGTCTGAATTGGGTGGCAACAAAAATGTAAACACGCCAACCGAACCCTTCTATTGTGAAGGTCGCTTTTGACATGCATGTTGCCCAGCATACGAAACGTTAAGTTTAAGGCGGAGGTTAATCTAAAATTCTGTAAAAAGAAATCGAATTTTTGTTTTTATCGGAATTTGAATCTAAGGTATTCAAGTTTTAATGTTTAGAAGCATTTATGTTACTGTGTGTTCAAAGCTCGTTTTCTCAACACGAGTTATTTTTGCCTTTAAGAAAAGATATTTTGAGAACGATTTGTCCGAATTTGTTGTTCTAAGCGAGTTTTGTGTTTTAAGCAGAGAACTTTTCCATCCAGTGCATTTTGTTGAAGTTATGCATTAAAACTGATGCTGGATTTTCTCTATCAGACTTGACTAGGCACCGTTTTTGTTTTTAACTTTTCAAAAAACTCTCTGCTTAAAACAGTAAGCTATTTGTCTTCTTTTGGAAAATGTAAAAATTATTTATTTTGATCAGTTCTTGCAGGAGTTATCTTTTCTCAAGTAAGCCTTAGCATTCCCCAACAGGAGGCAGATTTAATCAGCCGGTGTCAGGTTACAATACAGTTCTAGGGTACAAAAATATTTTTTCCATAATCTTTGGTCTTTAAGCGTCCTAAAAATGTATACTTTGCCAAATGAAAAAATAGTGTGGTTTTTGGTTAACCCCGCCTTAATATAAAAATGCGTCGGTTTACAACGTTTCTCACCGCTGTTTGTGTTCAGATGCGGTCAAAAAATTATTAAAAGTATATCTGAAGTCCAGATCAACGAATAAAGTAAGGAAAAGACAAAAGTTCTAGTAACAAATTAAATCACTATTTTAAAACTCTGTTGATAAATTAATGCCTCCCCCGATCCATTCTCGGTAAGCGCGCAAGCAAAACTTTAACACTTATTTACGTTTTCTAGGTTGTTTTCATGAAAAATAAACTCATGCTATCCACCAAATATGTAACGAAAAAGATTTGTAAGTAAGAGCCATGTTTAGAATAAGGAAAGCGTCGAAACTAATTCCTGAGCAGTTCATCTTAGCGATCCGTATGGCAAATTTCGGGCCGCTCAGGAAACCAATCAGAATTCTCCTTTTCATCTTGGCTTCAGGAAAACAAGGAAATTTGCACATGCGTCGAAAAGAGAAAGTGTTACCTACAAAGACTTCGAATCAACTTCGTACTCAGAGTCTTCGTTTCCCTTGATCAACGGTCGGGAAAAGAGCGAACATGAAGAGTTCTGAATCAAAGTCCGAAAAATACCGGACTTCCGGTTTAGTTGTTCATGCCTAACACGTGGCTTAATCGATTCGCTTGTGTTCTATTTCCGCTCATTTCCATTGTTTTTAAAACCAGTCAAAATTAAGCCCGCAGGGGAAATGTCGAGAGGTGCTTGTGTCGTCAGTCTTTCACAGTAAGGAACGAAGACTCCAAGAACGAGATTTAGTGCGAGTGACCAAAATATTCAAGCAACTCAGGTTGGCGTATCCTAGTTTTATTGTCCGGCACACCTTAAGGTTTACAAACCGGTCAACTTAGCTTACATTCGACTTAACAATATTAGATCGATAGCTAAAATAGGTAGATAAGGTGGATAACTTCAGTCTAGCACCAGAGAATGTTAGATTACGATCGCTAATTAACTGAATTTACTTTACGCATTCTTTGACATTAGTTAGCGTAAAGTGAGCTTCGTCTAAGACACTCGACCAACGTTCGACGCCACATTTTTTCCCATCACCCAAAACCCAATGGAAAAATTTTACCTGGCTCCAGAGAAACCAGCCATAATAAGGAGCCAGCTGCTCGTCTTCGACATGCGTGCTTTAATGCAATACCTTTGAATTTTAGGTATTACGTTAAAACACTTACATTAAAGACGAAAGGTAGCTCTCCATGTTATAGAGGTATAAATCAAGGTTCTCTGGAGCCAGATGAATTTTCGTGACGAATAAATGCCAATGTTAAAGAGGTGTCCACCGGAGTACGTAGTATTATCTCTTCAATAAGCGTCTCCCTTAACTAAGCGCTTTGAAGCATTCTTCTAATATATAGTACGTAGTGCAGGGGTATTAAGAGGGTCTAGATAGGGGTTGTAAATGTCAGTCATCAGTTAAGATTTTGTCTATTTGTCAGTTGTCAGTTAAATTTTCGGCCGTTTGTAGTTGCCAGGCAAGTGGCTATTAATTATTAACCGAAGACCTAAAACCTCTCCTAAACCTAACATGATCCAACCCCATGATCCAAACCCTCTTAATACTTCTACACTAGTTACTCTGGCAGACACCTCTTAAACATTGGCATATCTTCGTTACGAAAATTAAAAACCTCAAGCCAACGCATACCCGCTTATAATAATTACTCCGAAGCAACCAAGTTGACAAAATTTATAACCAAAATGATTCGATGCAATGGCGCCCTTCATTCATTAATATTCTAAGATGAGATCATATTGTAAAGTGTATTTATCCAAGTAGGGAATATTTTCGAAAAAATATCCCCTACTTGGATAAATACACTTTACAATAATATATTACCGAAGAATGCTTCAAATCACTTAGTTAGAGAGACGCTTATTGAAGGGCTAGAGCTAAATCGAATCATTCTGGTCCTTAACTTGTTTCACTGTTCTGC